AGGCGGCAGTGAGGTTCTGGTAGTCTCCAGGAACCGGAGGGCCGAATGGGGCATATGGATGAGACACCAAGGATTCCGTGCTCAGGTGCCCCCCACACATCTAGATGTGTATAAGAGACAGTTTACATGCTTCTGTTCATTCCTTTACTCAACAAACGTTGATTGAACACCTGCCAGACACCATGCTGGGCCCAAGGGACCCCACAAGGACACATCAAACATGAGCACATACATGTTCACAGCAGCACCCGGGAGTCCCAAATGATTCTTCATAAAGGGGAATCTTTTGGCCTCACTCATCAATGAGGACAGACATTCAAGGAAGAAAACCCACGAACTGACCACTCATGAGCCCTCTTGCCTCCTCAACCCTTCCATCTCCCCTGTTCCTGAGAAGGTGGCTCAGGACAAAGACCGAAAGGCAAGCTCTCAGGCCTGGCACGGTGGCTCACGCCTGTAATCCCAGCACTTTGTGAGGCCGAGGCGGGTGGATCACGAGATCAGAAGTTCAAGAGCAGCCTGGCCAAGATGGTGAAACCCTGTCTCTACTGAAAAAAAAAAAAAAAAAAAAGGCATGATCCCAGAGAGTTTCCAAATCTCTTTATTGAAATGAGTGCTCTGATTCACACGTCTCAGTCGTTGGCCCACTGCACTGAGATAAGGTATGTAAAGCTAGTGAGCTAACACCGCTCTACACATTGACACACATACACTCACCATGCATTGAAATACACTGACACACCAACACATGCCAAAACACACACTGACACACTGAAACACCGCAAAACACACCAACATGCACACATGGACACACACCGGCAGACACAACCACAAATACAAACACAAGTAAACCCATGCCAACACACACATTGACACACAGATGTACAGACACACAGCTAGCACACACTGACAATACACACGAACACACCGACACATCTACTCACACATCAAGACCAACACACACACTGACCCACACCCCATCGAAGGAGGCTGGAGGCCCGGGCCCCAGGAGGGGCTTGTAGTCACACGGGACAGGTATTGGAGGAAACAAAGGGTCCCAGAAGACTTGAATTAAGCACTTGGTTCAGGTCTTCGAGGTTCAGCGTTTTGGAAGAGGAGGCGGCAGTGAGGTTCTGGTAGTCTCCAGGAACCGGAGGGCCGAATGGGGCATATGGATGAGACACCAAGGATTCCGTGCTCAGGTGCCCCCCAGCGCTGGGCCGGTAAATTCGGAGCTTCAATCCGTGAGGAGTGCTAAGGCGGGCGGGGCAGCGCGTGGGGGATTCCTGGGGAGCCCCGCAGCCCGCCAGTCCCCTCCCGCTCCGCTCCGGCAGCAGCTTTCTGCTCTGGCTTCCAAGTTCTCCCTTTTTGTCCCACCACCACCCAAACCCCAAGTCCAGATCGGGGCTAGTGACCTCGGACCCTTTCAGTCCAACTCGCCCTAGCCTTTGCCAGGGAAGAGCCCTGTCCCAGACACCCAGCCTGGAAGCCGCCAGTCACCTCTGACTCCCCGCCCCCATCCGGTTGGGGCCCAAGCCTCACCGTAGTTCCTCAGATATAGCCCTGGTCCCACGTGTCACTGCCAACCCAATCCAGGGCTCAGGCCCTGCCCCAAAGCTCCAGAGGGTCTGAAAGACTCCAGCTGCCCCTCTTCCTTGCCACCGCCATCCGCCCTGTGGCCTACGCCTTCTGTCTCACGGAGCTCCCCTGCACTGAACCCTGATGGTGCCAGGCTCTTTTCTTTAGGCCGCTCCTGGGTCTCCAGCACAATGAAGGCGCACAGTGGCGCTCCCTGAATACTTGGCTCTTCATGACTGTCCTTACTGCTATTCCCTCACTGTGTCTCTACTTCCTTATCCCCGCCCCCCACGCACGCTTCCGAATTCTCTGCCCTCAGCTTAATGGAGAGCCTCCTGGCTGCGAGGCCCTACACTCGGCCCCGGGATGCGTTTGCTGAGTCCTTGTTCTCCAGGCGCACAGGGTACATGCATAAAGGGCTTCCCGAGAGAGTGTGAGAAGCTCCATCCAGCAGGTGGAACCAAGTGCCAGGCATGCTCTTCTTTGGCCACTCCATTTTCTTGTCTTCCCTGACTTCTCCGAGACCAGGGCCTCTGGGTCTTCCTCTCTCTCCCTGGTTCCTACTTTTCTTTTTTCCTCTCTCCTGCCTCCCCCTCAGCTGCTCCAGCCTTGGGCCTTTAAAGGGTCATCTCCCATGCTCCACTGGGGCCCCCTCTTGGGCCGGGGTTTCCTCCATAGGCTTGTCATCCCCTCCCCCATCTGGGGTCCTTCTGGCGGGCCCAGGTCTCTCTCCCACAGCAGGGAACCTGCCCTTTTGAGGAGTGGAATGTACTGTCCCTCCCGCTGGGGCCTCGGGCATGCCAAATCTGCCAGCGTGCTCCAGTGACAGGGAGCTAGCAAGAGGCCAGCCCCAGGAGAGAGGAGAGGGCGCCAGAGCCGGAGAAGTGGAGAGGTGCCCACGAGAGAGGACCCGCGGAGGTGGGCCAGGGGGATAAGGAGGGCGGGCGGGCACACTCCTGCCTTCGGAAGTTCTCTCCTCTGCGCCCTATTGGCCGCCTTGTCCCGGGCTGAATGAGGGTCAAGGAGAAATCAGGGGGCGGGACAGAGTGACTGGAGGCCGCTCCCCGTCACCCGCCCCTCCATCTCGCTCCATAGAGCTGGCAACCTTCATCCCCAGCCCCTCCTCTGGTACTAGAAGGGGTGGGTGGTCCGAGTCTCTGGTCTTGCTGAGCGTCTAGGGCTGGGTCAGAGAGAGGAGGCGTGGGTTCCGTCTGTACTACGTACCCAAAGGTGGTGAGCTTTGCTCCACGAAATTACAGCCCACAGCACCCAAGGCTTGGAAACCCCTGGGCAGAAGCAGCGTCTCAAGACCTCTAGCCTCGGACCCCACATGCCACAGCTCAGCTCAGTTGCGGGACTGCAGTGCGGCTCCCCTCACCGGCCCCCTTGCTAAGCTCTACTGTGGAGCGGCAGGTGCCGCAGGCCTCCCCTGTACCTCGGCCTCAGCGGCGCTCCCGGGCCATGGGGGGAGGGAGACACGACAGTGGGGCATCGAGACTCCAGCGGCCAAGGCGCACCCATCTAAGCACCCTGGGATCTCGGTGGAAAGGAAGGGGGGTTCCGGGGGCCGGGAGGAGAACTGCAGAGCTTGGCCGCTGAGCAGAGCATGGGAGGGGGGAGGGGCGGGGGCTCCCTTCCAGCCTCCGGGGTCTGGGGACTTAGGGATGTAAAGGAGAGCAGGGGGGTGTGACAATTCAGCAGAGGTCGGGACGTACCACGGAGCCAAGTGGCGGGGGGGGGCAGAGGACGTGGTCACCGAGGGGAGCCCCCGCCCCCCTTCGCAGAAGCCTGCGGCTGCGGTTGCAGGAAGAACTGGAACTGGGCTGGCCGAAGTGGGAAGCGGCGCGTTAAATCCGCCCCCTCTCCATACCCTACTTTCAAGGGGTGGGTGGTAGAGGGGAGGTTGGGGTTGGAGCAGCGGCGAGGGGGCCCCTCCCTTGCACCTCCCCCCACCGGACTTGGTCGCGCCCGAAGTGTAACACTTTCTCTTTGTCGGAGGAGCTCCTCTGTTTCCTGTGCAGTAGCTCCCGTTGCGGCGGCACCCGTGGCAGCCCTGGCGGACGCAGGAGCGATGGCAGCGACCGATATAGCTCGCCAGGTGGTAAGTGCAGAGCTTGGGTGCCAGGGCCAGGGCCGAGGGCCTGGGGAGGGTCAAGGAGACCTGGCCGCCGCCCCCACATCGCGAGGAGGGCAGTAGGCAGCATCCAGGAGCCGAGGGCACGGTGGGACTTCTGCTCCCGGGGTCAGCAGCTCAGTCCCCCAGCCAGTCCCGGAAAACGGTGGTGGCGCGCGGGGGTCAGGGGGCGGCAGGGGGGCTGGCAAAGCCTGTGGGCCGGCGGCTGAACTTGCATTGCCCAAGAGCCGCAGTGAGCGCGGCCGCCTCCCTCGCTGCAGCTGCGGCCCCACGGCTGGGGCGTTGCCGAATGAATGGCCGTAGGAGCCGCCGAGCCCTCCAGGTCCCTGGCACCCTGGCCTTGCCGCGCCCCTGCGCACGGCTGCCCGTTGTGACCCGGGACGGCACAGGCAAAGAGGCGCGGGGCTGGGGTTAGCCTGGGGCAGAAGGCTGTGAGTGGTGAGGGGGGCGGGGAAGTGACTGGCTGGGATAAGGTTTCTCTATATGCATTACATATGTGACTGCGTCTGTGTGTGTATCGGTGTGCGCGTATGTGTGCACGCGCGCGCGCTCGTGTCTTCCCGGGCGGGCGGCAGCGGCGCCGGGGTTCTGTCTGTGACCCAAAGAAGTCCGCCTGTTTCTCTGAGTGTGCTCACCTCTGTGGTGTGTGTCCGAACGCCTCTCTGTCTGCTTGTGCTGTGTGCCTCTGGGTCTCATTTGTGCGTCAGTGTAGGGTGCAGTTGGCTGGCCTGTAGGTGGCTGGCTGCGTATTTTGGCATGTTTTGGAGCGGGCCTCTGAGGATCTGTCTCGGGTGCATGTTCAGTGTAACTGGGCTTGTGTGCCAAAACCTGTGGAGCTGGCTTCTTTCTATGGAGACTCAGGAAAATAAGTGTGAGACTCCCAAAAGCGGTGCCGTCTCTTTTTTTGTTGGCGACCGACTCAGGGAAAAAAAAAAAAAAAATCTTCATTTAAAGAACTGAAGTTTTCCAGCCTGCGATGTGCAGAGAAACCATGTTGAAGTGACCTGAGGCTCCATGTTTGTTTTTTAGACCAGAAGTTTGGTTGCAAAGGGCGATGAATTCCATTTGGGGGGGACACCCTAGCTTGTCTATTCATCCATGGGTATCTGGGACTTTAAGAAGCCCACCAGCACCCCGAGGTGAGGAAGGAGTGGGAGACAGAGGTAGGTCAAATCCCATGACACCAAATGCTACTTGACGAAAATCTCTGAACCACATAAAAATGTTTTTCAACCTTGTAGCTTACTTGTTTAGGAAAATAGTTCATGCAATGCAATTACAGTACAAAAAAAAAAAAAAGCCTCTAGGTATTTGGTGTAATTGAAATTGATTTTTCAAAATCTGAAGCCAGAATCTGATAGTATTTTCTCTACAGAATATGTATTAATGTATTCCTCTCTTTTGCCCCTGTTTGGAAAGGCAGGATCATTTCTTCAGAACCTCCTCCACCCCCTGCACACCCTAGCACAGTGCACTTTATGCAGTCATGATGTGGAAGGACCAGGAGTAGACAGGAGACATTCTCTGTGATGATGGAATTTGAGAGAATTTTCTTCCCCCAAGATTGGCACTCTCATTGTTTATTGCTTTAGTGTTTTGAGGGCTCCCTCTTTTCTGCTGTGGCTTTTCTGCTCCTGGTTACCTGCATTTCAGAGATGGTATATGAAGTAGAGGAATTAATCTCTGGGATTACACTTGCTCCATCCAAAAATGAGGCTAATGATTTTTCATGTCAGCTAATGAATTTGCATTGACCTGTCCTCCATATTCTCACCAGTTTCTCTTGCCTGGATTAGGATTGCAGGGCAGATGTTGCAAAGGGGAACATTCCAGAAGATTGTGTGTGTTTCACCTCAGGCACAACTCAGGCAACCCAGAGATGCCCTTTGTTCTGCAAATGGGGGTGAGGGGGTGGTTTAGGGCCACTTGGTTTGCTTTGCATGGCTCCAGTTTGCTCTGGCTGGCCTTGCCATACTATATGATGAAGAACATAATTGTACGCCAGATTCTGAAGCTGAAAGAGCAGCCTAAGCACTCGAGACCTTGTTATCGTGATAAATGGGTTTCTGGGAAAACTGACGTCACTCTCCATGCCCCCCTCCCCCAGCCAGTGAAGCTCTTGTTTATGTGTCATTTGTCTCTCTGTTCTCCTTTGTGTCTGCAAGAAGTTGTAATTCACCAGGGAAGACGGAATTAACTCAGGAGACCTTGGACATCTGGTTGCTGCTTGTTTCCTCCGAGGAACATGTATTCAGGGTTTGGGAACAGAAGACTACAGAATAAACCTAAGTGTGGCTAGCTTAGGATTCTTTTTTTTTTTTTTTTTTTTTACGGAGTCTTGCTCTGTTGCCCAGGCTGGAGTGCAGTGGCACAACCTCTGCTCACTGCCAACCTCAGCCTGGGTTCAAGTGATTCTCCTGCCTCAGCCTCCCGAGTAGCTGGGATTACAGGTGCCCGCCACCACACCTGGCTAATTTTTGTATTTTTAGTAGAGACAGGTTTTCACCATGTTGGCCAGGCTTGTCTCGAACTCCTGACCTTGTGATCTGCCCACCTCAGCCTCCCAAAGTGTTGGGATTACAGGCGTGAGCCACCGCTCCCAGCCAAGAATTCTTTTTAATGAGCTCTGAGACGTGGTACCATACGAGTAAGTGCCCTAGTGTGTGTGTGTGTGTGTGTGTAAGCAGTGGTTGTGTTCTTTCTAGAGTCAGTTGAGAGTCACTGTGGGTAAACATCCTTAGTGATTAAAACAAGCCTTGTTGGGTAAGGCTTGTTGGGTAGGGCTTATATTGCATGCAGCCAACTTTGGAAGCTCAATTCTGGTGCACATAATACAAGTCCATCCCATCTGAATGAACACCACAAAGGGTTTGGTGTGACAACACCATTTCTCCACTGTGTCCATATTTATTTGATTGAATGATATGTGGCCAGCACTATGGTTAGCCCTTGTCAACTGGACAAAAAAAGGTAGCAGGCTTTAAGAAACGTTCGTGATTGGACTAGGCTCAGTGGCTCACACCTGTAATCCCAGCGCTTTGGGAGGCTGAGGTGGGCAGATCATGAGGTCAGGAGTTCAAGACCAGCCTGACCAACATGGTGAAACTCTGTATCTACTAAAAATACGAAAAATAGCCGGCTGTAGTGGTGCGTGCCTATAATCCTAGCTACTCAGGAGGCTGAGGCAGGGGAATCGCTTGAACCCTGGAGGCAGAGGTTGCAGTGAGCCGAGATTGCACCACTGCACTCCAGCCTGGGCAAAAGAGCAAGACTTCGTCTCAAAAAAGAAAAAAAAGAGGCCAAGGGGGGCGGATCACGAGGTCAGGAGATTGAGACCAGCCTGGCTAACACGGTTAAACCCCATCTCTACTAAAAATACAAAAAAATTAGCCGGGCGTGGTGGTGGGCATCTGTAGTCCCAGCTACTCCGGAGGCTGAGGGGGTGAACCTGGGAGGCGGTGCTTGCAGTGAGCCAAGATCACGCCACTACACTCCAGCCTGGGTGACAGAGCGAGACTCCGTCTCAAAAAACAAAAACAAAACAAAACAAAACGTTCGTGGCTTTTAAGCTTATAGTCTAGTTGGAGTGACAAATTGTGGACACTGTGAAATAATTAAAGAACTATAGAAGATCTTTGGGATGCCCCACCTCACCTCCTGCCTATGAGGTGGCTTGGGCTGCTATTGATATATACTTCGAGAAGTTCCATGACTTGTCCAAGGTAACCAAGGCACAGGGCAGGCCCCAAAAGCTGCATGTGCTGGCTCTTTTAATAAGCTGTTCCTTTCAGTGTTGCATTCTGGGATCCAGACTGTAAATGCTGGCCCATACGAAGAGTATCTGGATGATTCTGGCTTGAACTAGTCCCGTAGTGTGAACAATGGAGCTTTCTTCAGTGGCAATCTAGGTAGTGGTCGTTCTCCCAAATGAACTTGCAGGGGCTAACTTTGCTCTACAAAGTTAGCTGGGATTGGTCTGGGTCAACTGTCTCAGAGCAACTGTCTTCAGGTGGGGAAAAGATTGCTGCTGCACTCTGGTTTTGCTATCATCACGTGGCAGTTACCCTTTGATTCCCTTTGAGGTCTCTGCTTCAGGCGTTCCTACCACCACCCACTAAAGATAGTATCGTACCTCAAACACAGAAAACAAAACCCCATTACCTAGCTCTATTGGTGATACAACACGGAAGAAAGTTTACATGGCCCCAAATATTTAAAAATGTTGATTCTAAATTTGAGGGTTTTTTGAACAGTCATTGCATTATTTTCTAACTTTTCTGTGGGTTTGGGATGTCTCTTTTTTCTTTTCTTTTTTTTTTTCCTGAGACGGGGTCTTGCTGTGTCGCCCAGGCTGGAATGCAGTGGCGCAATCTCAGCTCACTGCAACCTCCGCCTCCGGGGTTCAAGCAATTATCTTTTTTTTTTTTTTTTTTTTTTTGAGATGGAGTCTCACTCTGTCCCCCGGGCTGGAATGCAGTGGCCGGATCTCAGCTCACTGCAAGCTCCGCCTCCCGGGTTTACACCATTCTCCTGCCTCAGCTCCCGCCACCTCACCCAGCTAGTTTTTTTGTATTTTTTAGTAGAGATGGGGTTTCACTGTGTTAGCCAGGATGGTCTCCATCTCCTGACCTCGTGATCCGCCTGTCTCGGCCTCCCAAAGTGCTGGGATTACAGGCTTGAGCCACCGCGCCCGGCCCAAGCAATTATCTTGCCTCAGCCTCCCGAGTAGCTGGGATTACAGGTGTGCACCACCATGCCCGGCTAATTTTTGTATTTTTAGTAGAGACAGGGTTTCACCATGTTGGCCAGGCTGGTCTCGAACTCCTGACTTTGTGATCTGCCCGCCTTGGTCTCTCAAAGTCCTGGGATTACAGGTGTGAGCCACAGCACCCAGCCTGGGATTTTTCAAAATAAAAAGTGGGCAGAATGACAATGCCCCTGAAAAGCGCATGGTCCCTTCTTTCAAG